CGAGAAATGGTCTAAATCTATACTGTCTAACCCTCAACATCTTCTCTATTCTCAGCTCTTCCCTTTAATTTCATCTGATGGAACCAGAAGTCAGTATCAAAGATTATATGATCGTTTTTGGAATTACGTAATACCAAAAATTGTTGTCGTTTTCATTGGCAGCAGTTCACAGCCTATTGAGTTTACGCAAGTGCAATGCTCATTTCCCACTTTCCTGAGGAGACATCAACTAGGATTCTAGGAAAGTAGCGCGTCAGTATGTGAATTTCATGAATCTGTAGACTACATTCCATTCACTTATTACTGAAACTAAACTATGAAGGAACTGATATTTCCAAGAAGGATATAATACAAGGCTCATTTCTACAACTGTCGTCCTTATTTTAGTTCACTTTCATCATAAATGTATTAACCGAATTGTCTGTTACTCACTTTAGGGACTTACCAGGGAACAGTCTTGTCAACTTAGTGTATGCTGATGGTATTGTCCACTTAGGCTGCGAGAAGTGACCATTGAAACTGGAAGATATGAAAAGACTACTGGTTTTTGATCGTAGTGTCTGTACCCTTTCTTCTGTGTTAAGTAGTCTAATATGGTGAGTAATATTGGGGTTAAGCTTAGTGTTAAGTAGAAATGTGATTCCAAACGTTGTTAATGACACAGATGCATTCACTGTGTGTAATCTCACATATCTGAGCAACCCTTATATTTTTTCCATATGACTGTTTGTTTTTCATCACATTTATGCTCATTAGAGTTCCATTTAATTTCCTTTTTCCTCTACCTTTGTGTGCTACATGGAATGTGTAACTTAAGCGGGTGCACTTGTGTGCAAGCTTCTATGTTGAAAGTCAGTCTGTCAGAATGATCTATAGTCCAGGTATAATGAAATGCTAAAACGCGGATAAAAATAGGCAAAATGTCAACAAATGGTAATCGTATATTTTCATTTAGTTCTTGTCTAACTGAAAAAGTGATCTTACAATAATTTCTCCTCTTACCCGAGATAACTCTCACACTCTGTCTCGTTATATCTCATGAGTTAGTTAATTTTATCGCGTAGCCCAAATGCGAAGTTGAAACACATCTGATGAAATATGTTTTGCTTATTACCAACTAAATATAATATTTTTCAAGTGTGGAACGTCACAAATCGAACTGCTACACTTCTGTGCTGAGTTCCATGTTAAAACTCAGTCAGTCAGCTTTGTCACTGCAGATGCGTAGTGTCACAACTCACTAGTGTTAATTAGCTTAAACAATTATTCATGCCGTTTCCTAAGTACTCTATGCATTTCCCGATTCCTTAAACTGTCCAGATAAAGTGCACCGAAGAGGAAAACATAAACCAAAAGTCAGTAACACGGACGTAAGAACTAGTGTGAATAGAAGTGAATGAGATGAGTGACCTTCTATCCCTGTAGTACGCTTAACTAAAATGCTCATTTATTTGAATGAATCAAAGAGTTGTGTGAGTGACTTGATATAATCATGAGCAATAATTTGTGCTCAAAACGTCACCAAGTAATATTGCTGTACAACACTGTGTGATTTATCAAAATAAAATCGTATCCATAATGGAGTTATACTCTACCACAGTGCCCAAGTTTTATACTTATGTCAAAAATACTTATCTTATGTGTTATGTGTCTCCTAATTGTTTCATTTTTGTCTTCCTCATTGCAGGTCTTCAGTCTTCGTAGACATTCTACTAGATATCGTCATACATAGTGTCTGCAAGCAGTCTTTCAATACATCTATCTCCCGCAAAGTTGTTGTTACGACGCTTTTAGATTATTTACATTTGGCCGTAATACAATTAGTATGCTAATATTACTGATGCGATGACATGCAAGGCCTGTACATGTTACTGTGAAGTTTGCCTGTATTAACATTCCCTCCATACTAAATACAATGCTTGCGATAACAATTCGTCATTATCTTTTCATTGCGTTGATAGATGCGTATATATTAGAAAAAAGCTAACCTTGTCGTATTAGTTCTCTAAATTACAATCGCTAAGTGCCCATACCTCTGCTAAATACCAAGTGCTACTCGTGGCCCATGAACTACTTATTACTGCATTCGTAAATAACTATCAAACTATTATTACACGGAGTAGTGAGACAGAAGGCGTATGAAATTTAGATATTAATGTGTATCTGAAGTTAATGACACAATATATATGTACATGTTTCATTTCCAAACAAGAGAATTTTATAGGGTGATGTAGGGCTGAGCGCAGTGAGTTAATAGTGTATTCTTTACTGTATACATCTTGTATGAGTGAAATGATTCTATTCAATTTTCGGCGAAGCTTCAATATCACCGTGCAGGGTTTCTTCAATGCAATCTCAGGGAATAATACTTGGTACTGAGGAATCCAGCCAAAAGCATCTGTGATACAGTCGAATGACTTTTTCAACTATAAGCCGCAATACTGATATTAAGTGTGATTTACCTGTAAACTGAGGGACTCCAGTGTAACAAAGCACCATATCCCAGCAGGGTATTCTTTGTGTTTTACAGGTACAAGTAGAATTCATGGACTGAGTATTTGTTAAATATGGATGCAACCCATTGAGTCATTTAGACGAAAGGCCGACGAAATGCAATACCTTACACACGCACTTTCAGATGTAGGCATGTGTCACATGAACTCTGGGCCATATCGAGTAGGGATTCCTTTAAATCTACCCTACCTTGTACGCTAAATTATTGTTCGTATATAGGTGATGACTTGGTGCGTTTCCTGGTTTGCCTATAATTACGGAATGTACATTATATTAACGAACACAAATGGATTTTGTGAAAACCAGTGGTGTTCCTTTTCTAGTCCTAATTGATGTCACATTGATTGACACGATTAAAGGAATAGATTGTAACGTGGTGTTTTCTGTAGCTGCGAAACGTAGATACCTAGTTTCGAATTGACATCATGCGTCTAATCCTATTAACCTATGGGTATAGTTCATCCTTCATGATACCTAGAAGTCAGGAGTAGACTGTCTTTGACAGATCTAGTTTTACTTTGTGACTAATTGGTGAGTCACCTGGTGTTGTGGTAGTAGAAAAAACAACTCCAAACCTTAGTATTTTCTAGATATGAACATATTTACTTACTTTGGCGACAATTTAATCTTAGGGATATTAACCTTTACTTAGTAATTTGGATCCGAAAGTAAACGCCATGTTACTAAGTTATTCAAAAGACAGAATGATGAGTGAAACAGTACTCGGATACTTATTCTAACGAAATCGAATAATGATAATCGTTTAGCCTACCAATATGCCGCTTACTTTCAGTCTTAATTCAAAGACAAATTTAATTGCCCAATAAATTAATAGTTTCAGAAGACTGCTCTACTCCTGTCTTTGAAATACTTTACCCGATCGTGTTTTACTTCAAAATAAGTGTATACTGGCCAGCTGATGTTGCTTATCCAGTTACACTGTTTTTCAGTTACAATGTCCCATCTATTTCCTATCAAACACAACATCCCTTAAACCATCAACGAGTAAACATCATTTCTAAAAAAATAACCTTAACTATTCGCATGTAAACGATGCTATAAACTTTATCACTTACGTGATGTTTCAAATTCCGATTAATCAGTTTTCCCTTACATGAGCACCTGTTTCAATTTTAACGGATAGTTCTAACCTTTGACTACTGAATTAGTACGTTTCGTTATATGCCATCCATACGAAATATAGGTACTGATAATAATTACTGCTAACAGATTTATCACGAGAATGTACTCCATATTGACGACAATATTCCTCAGGGGCGGACGTATTTTCTAAACGCGCTACTCAATACAACACATGACCCTAACTCCATAACTCTGTAGCTCACAACATTCTATGAAGTTAGTAGTGACTATTAACAAGTAGAATGTCTATTTGAGGTATAGAGAATACATTTATTAGTGATTCGACACAAAATACAAAATCAACGGTACTGGAAACCACTTTCTTCAGCAACGAATCCCACGAGGTCACTGGAACTACAGATTATCTAAAAAAGAAAACAAGGGTTCACAGGGTGCATACATGAATATAACTACCAATATAATATTAACGAGACAGCACAGTAAAAATTAATGAAAGTTTATATCAATGTGCGATTACATCAGTCACTATTTTTGACACAAGTGGATATTTAGACGAAGTAATAAGAAGACGTAATTTGTCCGAGTCGTGTAGTGTTGTATTTGTGCAACACATTTTGGACAATCTGGTCACGCATGGACTTGTTATAGGAATACATATGAAATTAATACAGTTAAAAGTTTGGAAAATAAATTTAGGTGGAATTAAAACCACATATTGAAGGTCAAAATAACAATGAAGATTACTAAACCAAATATCTGAGGTACTAGTACATCTACCCTGACTAGTTTCAAAACGAAGTTTAACAAAGGTTTCGTGTGATGACGAATAGTCTTGGAATTCACAAAAGTGGTTTAAACTTCCTAATCACACTTCGGTTCCCACAAACTTTAGGATGCAATCCAAACACGTTTTACAGATAGGTTTAAAAATGTGCAAACGCCAGTTTTATGTCCTGTCCCTATAATATGTTTCGAAATAGAGGAGCTGGGACCCCATTAATAACTTCTGAAGATTCTGTTGCTTCTGGAGGCATTTAGGAATATGATGCGTAGCCCTTACTTGCAGAAATCGATGAGCCTTCCCTAAATGGATATAGCAACCACTTCTAAACCTTACGTCCATAGCTTTAAGAGATGTCGGACACTACTTCTACGTGGTTTTAAAATAATTTGGTGAATTAACTTCGAACAAGCGCGAATGTGGCGTCAGGACAATGACAAAAATCGGAAGTTTATGAAACCAAACTCACTAATAGGACAAAATGACGCACACGTCAGATGTCTTTACGTACCTGATCACGAGGATGGTATTGAAATCCACCAAATTACTAAAATGTTGCAGTGTGCATTTAACTCACTTAAAAACTTCGGCAGAAAACAGTGAATGTTATAAGTGATCGTAAAACATATTGCAATTTCTGCCCATTTGTGAACACTAATTTTCGCTTATATATATGCATTCCATTGACTTTCATCTATCAAAACAACACACAGAAGTGCGGGAGGATGCAGGAATTCGATATCAACCATATTCTTTGGTTCCTGCAGCAGTAATAGGTACTGCACAATAGCTGATAGGGAAATTTGAGATCGAGTACAAGTTTCCGCCAATCTGCAAAGAAATTTATCGAATGACAGTCGTTGAAATGTACGCGAAGCTTACTCGGTATGCCAAAAATCACTGCATGAACCATGTATTTAAGCGTCCTATCACACAAGCAATCAGTAAATGCTCAAGAACAATATCGAACAATAATTTTCATATAAATTCATCCAACAAGAGCAAAATAAGCAGCGAAATGGCGTCTACTGCGTTTGCTGGACGACTAGGGCAATGGATAAAGGCACACACGGCCTTATGGAGAGGCTGAGCACTTCTAGGTCACTTCCGCGTGTTGTGATTGGTTATTTCAAGTTTGCGTATGCGTGGCGGCAATACGTGAGTAGTGTTAATTGCCGAAAGAGGGGTGAAAGTTGGTTGTTTTGTATTGATGAATGACGTAGTGGTGGATATATTTAACCGCATATTAAAATATCAACATTTTGAAACTTGGGATGAATTTTATGCAGCGTTTAAAGAGTTTAATAAGCTCGCAAATACTCATTATGTAGTGAGAAGCAGTCGTAAAGATCATGATAATAGTATTCTGCACTATAAACGTGTAAGTTATGTATGCACCTCCGGTCAATTACGGCGTAGTCGGTCCGAAGGGCTTAGGCCTGGAAAACCGTAAGTGCATATATGAGTTATTAGTTTTTTTATAAGTTTTAAGTGTATGGGTTGTACATCTACTTTCTGTGTTAATTCAGTTGATAGATGCCTGAAAGTAGGTGAAATGAAGGGTGCACATAATCATCCATGTACAAGAGATTTTATGATAGTAGACAGCAGCAGACGTTCGTTAACGGAGGATGAGAAGACTCAAGTAAATAGTATGATTAAATATATGGTGTCAACTTCTGAACTGCGGGATGCAGTATTCTTGAAATTCGGAAAATTTCTATCTCGAAAGGATGTAGTTAAATTGAGAGAAGTGTTTGGAGGTATATAGATTACGAAATATTTCGTTAACTTCATTCTAGGTGTGAAAAGTATGGCTGAAGTTCTACAGCTGTTATCCTCTTCAGGTGAAGTTCGTACGAAGAGTTCCAATGGACAGATTGATGTTATATGTTTCAGCCTGCAACAACAAATTAAATTTTTTCAAAGTTTTCCGGAAGTAATTTGCATTGATTCGACGTACAAAACCAATAAGGTTGGGTAAGTTACAGATACTGGTGTAATTTCTGCAGTTTCAGTCTGTTCCAGTTAGTCGCCACAGATGGGTGTGGAAATGGTGCTTGTGTTATGTTTGCTTTCTGTCAGAGGGAGAATGTGGTAGATATCACGTTTGTCCTCGAAATGTTTAAAGCCATAATGGGATGTACCAATGCTACGAGGACATTTGTCATGGATAATTGTCAGGCGGAAATCTCGGTGCAACAAGTGTTTCCACATTGCAGGATAGTTCTTTGCTCATTTCATGTGCTGCGAGCGTTTGGTCGGAAGGTATTTGACTGCAATTCATGATTACTGTGTAGTTTCGGAATAGTGATGCACGGTTCGCACTACGAAGAATGCTTTCAACGCGTTTTAGAGAAAGGTAAATGACGTGTGAATTACCAATTAGTGAATTCTGAAGATTTAACTATTATTACAGATACATTCGGCATGAATTCCCTCAAGCATACCAATATTTAAATGGACACTGGATGAATAACAGGAGAATGTGGGCTAGATGCTTCAGGAGGAAATACATGACATTGGGTAACGGAACGAACAACAGGGTTGAGAGTGCTCACAAGCACCTGAAGTTGCACCTTCGACGGAATGACCCACTAGTGCTAACCTTAAGGAAAGTTTATAACAAAGCAAAGAATTATTGGCGCCTTCGACAGTATGACACGCTGTTAACATTGCAGAGATTTCGTCAATATGATGTAAGTATAACTTCATTATTATACCCTTTGTAGGCTCCACAGTTAATTCATGTGCACTTGGACAAATTAACGCCGTATGCTGCTAAATTAGTCTTCAAAGATTACCAAAGGGTTGGACGTATTCATCACTCGGTAATCAGCAGCGACCTAATTGATTGCTATGACGGAGTGGCCTTCAACTTAGTTGACATTTCTAATGGTGTATGCGGGTGTCACCACTTCCATGACTTGCGCATAGTACATGTAGGCATGCAGTTAGCCTTTTAGAAAGAAAACTTAAACTCGTAGACCGTTATTACTCTGAATATGCGTGCAAATGTTAAGGTTTTTGATTTCAGAATGCGTTAAACATCATCTTCCAACAGGGCTACCGGAGAAGTATACGTTCACCTTATGTTTCTTATGCAATCACTGCATATTTATAATAACTAATGTAGGACGAATACGCAAATCCAAAATAACATTTATACGTATTTCAATGTCGACATACGTTATACAATTGCGTCTCCCGGTTACCATCTTTCCAGATGTATTGACCGTTTTATATTGACTAGGAATTTAAATTTTCTGGTCACGTGAATTGCTTTTTCTTAGTTGGTATATTATATCTACATTGTGCTGCGCTAATTACCACTATTTCAAAGTAAACTTGATTAAACAGCTTTGCTGAAGCATAATAGAATAATTGTCTTGTGAAAGTTGAAATTTTTGCAGTATTATAAATATCTTTATGAAAATAAATACTTACTAAAAGTTGTTACGGTGTTCTTCTAATACTTGTTCACTGTGGTTGTTGAAGGAGTAGTGATGTAGCCGGTTATGGAATGCGTAATAATAGTTTACTTTGAAATAGTGGTAATTAGCGCAGCACAATGTAGATATAATATACCAACTAAGAAAAAGCAATTCACGTGACCAGAAAATTTAAATTCCTAGTCAATATAAAACGGTCAATACATCTGGAAAGATGGTAACCGGGAGACGCAATTGTATAACGTATGTCGACATTGAAATACGTATAAATGTTATTTTGGATTTGCGTATTCGTCCTACATTAGTTATTATAAATATGCAGTGATTGCATAAGAAACATAAGGTGAACGTATACTTCTCCGGTAGCCCTGTTGGAAGATGATGTTTAACGCATTCTGAAATCAAAAACCTTAACATTTGCACGCATATTCAGAGTAATAACGGTCTACGAGTTTAAGTTTTCTTTCTAAAAGGCTAACTGCATGCCTACATGTACTATGCGCAAGTCATGGAAGTGGTGACACCCGCATACACCATTAGAAATGTCAACTAAGTTGAAGGCCACTCCGTCATAGCAATCAATTAGGTCGCTGCTGATTACCGAGTGATGAATACGTCCAACCCTTTGGTAATCTTTGAAGACTAATTTAGCAGCATACGGCGTTAATTTGTCCAAGTGCACATGAATTAACTGTGGAGCCTACAAAGGGTATAATAATGAAGTTATACTTACATCATATTGACGAAATCTCTGCAATGTTAACAGCGTGTCATACTGTCGAAGGCGCCAATAATTCTTTGCTTTGTTATAAACTTTCCTTAAGGTTAGCACTAGTGGGTCATTCCGTCGAAGGTGCAACTTCAGGTGCTTGTGAGCACTCTCAACCCTGTTGTTCGTTCCGTTACCCAATGTCATGTATTTCCTCCTGAAGCATCTAGCCCACATTCTCCTGTTATTCATCCAGTGTCCATTTAAATATTGGTATGCTTGAGGGAATTCATGCCGAATGTATCTGTAATAATAGTTAAATCTTCAGAATTCACTAATTGGTAATTCACACGTCATTTACCTTTCTCTAAAACGCGTTGAAAGCATTCTTCGTAGTGCGAACCGTGCATCACTATTCCGAAACTACACAGTAATCATGAATTGCAGTCAAATACCTTCCGACCAAACGCTCGCAGCACATGAAATGAGCAAAGAACTATCCTGCAATGTGGAAACACTTGTTGCACCGAGATTTCCGCCTGACAATTATCCATGACAAATGTCCTCGTAGCATTGGTACATCCCATTATGGCTTTAAACATTTCGAGGACAAACGTGATATCTACCACATTCTCCCTCTGACAGAAAGCAAACATAACACAAGCACCATTTCCACACCCATCTGTGGCGACTAACTGGAACAGACTGAAACTGCAGAAATTACACCAGTATCTGTAACTTACCCAACCTTATTGGTTTTGTACGTCGAATCAATGCAAATTACTTCCGGAAAACTTTGAAAAAATTTAATTTGTTGTTGCAGGCTGAAACATATAACATCAATCTGTCCATTGGAACTCTTCGTACGAACTTCACCTGAAGAGGATAACAGCTGTAGAACTTCAGCCATACTTTTCACACCTAGAATGAAGTTAACGAAATATTTCGTAATCTATATACCTCCAAACACTTCTCTCAATTTAACTACATCCTTTCGAGATAGAAATTTTCCGAATTTCAAGAATACTGCGTCCCGCAGTTCAGAAGTTGACACCATATATTTAATCATACTATTTACTTGAGTCTTCTCATCCTCCGTTAACGAACGTCTGCTGCTGTCTACTATCATAAAATCTCTTGTACATGGATGATTATGTGCACCCTTCATTTCACCTACTTTCAGGCATCTATCAACTGAATTAACACAGAAAGTAGATGTACAACCCATACACTTAAAACTTATAAAAAAACTAATAACTCATATATGCACTTACGGTTTTCCAGGCCTAAGCCCTTCGGACCGACTACGCCGTAATTGACCGGAGGTGCATACATAACTTACACGTTTATAGTGCAGAATACTATTATCATGATCTTTACGACTGCTTCTCACTACATAATGAGTATTTGCGAGCTTATTAAACTCTTTAAACGCTGCATAAAATTCATCCCAAGTTTCAAAATGTTGATATTTTAATATGCGGTTAAATATATCCACCACTACGTCATTCATCAATACAAAACAACCAACTTTCACCCCTCTTTCGGCAATTAACACTACTCACGTATTGCCGCCACGCATACGCAAACTTGAAATAACCAATCACAACACGCGGAAGTGACCTAGAAGTGCTCAGCCTCTCCATAAGGCCGTGTGTGCCTTTATCCATTGCCCTAGTCGTCCAGCAAACGCAGTAGACGCCATTTCGCTGCTTATTTTGCTCTTGTTGGATGAATTTATATGAAAATTATTGTTCGATATTGTTCTTGAGCATTTACTGATTGCTTGTGTGACAGGACGCTTAAATACATGGTTCATGCAGTGATTTTTGGCATACCGAGTAAGCTTCGCGTACATTTCAACGACTGTCATTCGATAAATTTCTTTGCAGATTGGCGGAAACTTGTACTCGATCTCAAATTTCCCTATCAGCTATTGTGCAGTACCTATTACTGCTGCAGGAACCAAAGAATATGGTTGATATCGAATTCCTGCATCCTCCCGCACTTCTGTGTGTTGTTTTGATAGAGGAAAGTCAATAGAATGCATAGATACAAGCGAAAATTAGTGTTCACAAATGGGCAGAAATTGCAATATGTTTTACGATCACTTATAACATTCACTGTTTTCTGCCGAAGTTTTTAAGTGAGTTAAATGCACACTGCAACATTTTAGTAATTTGGTGGATTTCAATACCATCCTCGTGATCAGGTACGTAAAGACATCTGACGTGTGCGTCACTTTTTCCTACTAGTGAGTTTGGTTTCATAAACTTCCGATTTTTGTCATTGTCCTGACGCCACATTCGCGCTTGTTCGAAGTTAATTCACCAAATTATTTTAAAACCACGTAGAAGTAGTGTCCGACATCTCTTAAAGCTATGGACGTAAGGTTTAGAAGTGGTTGCTATATCCATTTAGGGAAGGCTCATCGATTTCTGCAAGTAAGGGCTACGCATCATATTCCTAAATGCCTCCAGAAGCAACAGAATCTTCAGAAGTTATTAATGGGGTCCCAGCTCCTCTATTTCGAAACATATTATAGGGACAGGTCATAAAACTGGCGTTTGCACATTTTTAAACCTATCTGTAAAACGTGTTTGGATTGCATCCTAAAGTTTGTGGGAACCGAAGTGTGATTAGGAAGTTTAAACCACTTTTGTGAATTCCAAGACTATTCGTCATCACACGAAACCTTTGTTAAACTTCGTTTTGAAACTAGTCAGGGTAGATGTACTAGTACCTCAGATATTTGGTTTAGTAATCTTCATTGTTATTTTGACCTTCAATATGTGGTTTTAATTCCACCTAAATTTATTTTCCAAACTTTTAACTGTATTAATTTCATATGTATTCCTATAACAAGTCCATGCGTGACCAGATTGTCCAAAATGTGTTGCACAAATACAACACTACACGACTCGGACAAATTACGTCTTCTTATTACTTCGTCTAAATATCCACTTGTGTCAAAAATAGTGACTGATGTAATCGCACATTGATATAAACTTTCATTAATTTTTACTGTGCTGTCTCGTTAATATTATATTGGTAGTTATATTCATGTATGCACCCTGTGAACCCTTGTTTTCTTTTTTAGATAATCTGTAGTTCCAGTGACCTCGTGGGATTCGTTGCTGAAGAAAGTGGTTTCCAGTACCGTTGATTTTGTATTTTGTGTCGAATCACTAATAAATGTATTCTCTATACCTCAAATAGACATTCTACTTGTTAATAGTCACTACTAACTTCATAGAATGTTGTGAGCTACAGAGTTATGGGGTTAGGGTCATGTGTTGTATTGAGTAGCGCGTTTAGAAAATACGTCCGCCCCTGAGGAATATTGTCGTCAATATGGAGTACATTCTCGTGATAAATCTGTTAGCAGTAATTATTATCAGTACCTATATTTCGTATGGATGGCATATAATGAAACGTACTAATTCAGTAGTCAAAGGTTAGAACTATCCGTTAAAATTGAAACAGGTGCTCATGTAAGGGAAAACTGATTAATCGGAATTTGAAACATCACGTAAGTGATAAAGTTTATAGCATCGTTTACATGCGAATAGTTAAGGTTATTTTTTTAGAAATGATGTTTACTCGTTGATGGTTTAAGGGATGTTGTGTTTGATAGGAAATAGATGGGACATTGTAACTGAAAAACAGTGTAACTGGATAAGCAACATCAGCTGGCCAGTATACACTTATTTTGAAGTAAAACACGATCGGGTAAAGTATTTCAAAGACAGGAGTAGAGCAGTCTTCTGAAACTATTAATTTATTGGGCAATTAAATTTGTCTTTGAATTAAGACTGAAAGTAAGCGGCATATTGGTAGGCTAAACGATTATCATTATTCGATTTCGTTAGAATAAGTATCCGAGTACTGTTTCACTCATCATTCTGTCTTTTGAATAACTTAGTAACATGGCGTTTACTTTCGGATCCAAATTACTAAGTAAAGGTTAATATCCCTAAGATTAAATTGTCGCCAAAGTAAGTAAATATGTTCATATCTAGAAAATACTAAGGTTTGGAGTTGTTTTTTTACTACCACAACACCAGGTGACTCACCAATTAGTCACAAAGTAAAACTAGATCTGTCAAAGACAGTCTGCTCCTGACTTCTAGGTATCATGAAGGATGAACTATACCCATAGGTTAATAGGATTAGACGCATGATGTCAATTCGAAACTAGGTATCTACGTTTCGCAGCTACAGAAAACACCACGTTACAATCTATTCCTTTAATCGTGTCAATCAATGTGACATCAATTAAGACTAGAGAAGGAACACCACTGGTTTTCACAAAATCCATTTGTGTTCGTTAATATAATGTACATTCCGTAATTATAGGCAAACCAGGAAACGCACCAAGTCATCACCTATATACGAACAATAATTTAGCGTACAAGGTAGGGTAGATTTAAAGGAATCCCTACTCGATATGGCCCAGAGTTCATGTGACACATGCCTACATCTGAAAGTGCGTGTGTAAGGTATTGCATTTCGTCGGCCTTTCGTCTAAATGACTCAATGGGTTGCATCCATATTTAACAAATGCACAGTCCATGAATTCTACTTGTACCTGTAAAACACAAAGAATACCCTGCTGGGATATGGTGCTTTGTTACACTAGAGTCCCTCAGTTTACAGGTAAATCATACTTAATATCAGTATTGCGGCTTTTAGTTGAAAAAGTCATTCGACTGTGTCACAGATGCTTTTGGCTGGATTCCTCAGTACCAAGTATTATTCCCTGAGAGTGCATTGAAGAAACCCTGCACGGTGATATTGAAGCTTCGCCGAAAATTGAATAGAAGCATTTCACTCATACAAGATGTATACAGTAAAGAATACACTATTAACTCACTGCGCTCAGCCCTACATCACCCTATAAAATTCTCTTGTTTGGAAATGAAACATGTACATATATATTGTGTCATTAACTTCAGATACACATTAATATCTAAATTTCATACGCCTTCTGTCTCACTACTCCGTGTAATAATAGTTTGATAGTTATTTACGAATGCAGTAATAAGTAGTTCATGGGCCACGAGTAGCACTTGGTATTTAGCAGAGGTATGGGCACTTAGCGATTGTAATTTAGAGAACTAATACGACAAGGTTAGCTTTTTTCTAATATATACGCATCTACCAACGCAATGAAAAGATAATGACGAATTGTTATCGCAAGCATTGTATTTACTATGGAGGGAATGTTATTACAGGCAAACTTCACAGTAACATGTACAGGTCTTGCATGTCATTGCATCAGTAATATTAGCATACTAATTGTATTACGGCCAAATGTAAATAATCTAAAAGCGTCGTAACAACAACTTTGCGGGAGGTAGATGTATTGAAAGACTGCTTGCAGACACTATGTATGACGACATCTAGTAGAATGTCTACGAAGACTGACAACCTGCAATGAGGAAGACAAAAATGAAACAATTAGGAGACACATAACACATAAGATAAGTATTTTTGACATAAGTATAAAACTTGGGCACTGTGGTAGAGTATAACTCCATTATGGATACGATTTTATTTTGATAAATCACACAGTGTTGTACAGCAATATTACTTGGTGACGTTTTGAGCACAAATTATTGCTCATGATTATATCAAGTCAGTCACACAACTCTTTGATTCATTCAAATAAATGAGTATTTTAGTTAAGCGTACTACAGGGATAGAAGGTCACTCATCTCATTCACTTCTATTCACACTAGTTCTTACGTCCGTGTTACTGACTTTTGGTTTATGTTTTCCTCTTCGGTGCACTTTATCTGGACAATTTAAGGAATTGGGAAATGCATAGAGTACTTAGGAAACGGCATGAATAATTGTTTAAGCTAATTAACACTAGTGAGTTGTGACACTACGCATCTGCAGTGACAAAGCTAACTGACTGAGTTTTAACATGGAACTCAGCACAGAAGTGTAGCAGTTCAATTTGTGACATTCCACACTTCAAAAATATTATATTTAGTTAGTAATAAGCAAAACATATTTCATCAGATGTGTTTCGACTTCGCATTTGGGCTACGCGATAAAATTAACTAACTCATGAGATATAACGAGACAGAGTGTGAGAGTTATCTCGGGTAAGAGGAGAAATTATTGTAAGATCACTTTTTCAGTTAGACAAGAACTAAATGA